GTCCTTAACTACTTTCTCTTTCAGAATTTTTCCCAAGACCTTGCATACAGTTGACTTCCAGGCCTGTAGTTTTCCAGATCACCTGTGCCCTGTCCCCTGTGCATGTACCCAGGGCACCCGCCTGCCCAGCCTCTGCAGAGACCAGTGGTGCCCCGTCCCCTGTGCATGTACCCAGGGCACCCGCCCTGCCCAGCCTCTGCAGAGACCAGAGGTGCCCTGTCCCCTGTGCATGTACCCAGGGCACCCGCCCTGCCCAGCCGCTGCACCCTCTGAAGTGCCCTTCCCAGCCTACATTTGCCCAAAGTACCCTCCCCACCCACACAGCCGCAGTCCCACATGCTCCCACCCTGCCCAGACACAGCACGGAAGCCCCAGGCGGGAGTAAAACTCACTGGGCCGAAGCCGCCACCAGAGGAGACGAGATCCTGGCTCTTCTCCATATCAAACATTTTGATCTGTTGCTGGGGAGTCTGACTGGTGGAGAGACGCCAGGGCTCAGCCAGCACCTGCATAGAACCACGCTCCGGTGAGCACCATGCACCTGCCAGCCCCACCTCCCCTCCAGCGTGAGGCTCCAAACTCTGCAGAGACCACCCTGAGCTGGGCACGGAGCCCAGGGCCCTCCCTTCCAGAGCCCAGCACTGCCCAGAGCAGAGCTAGCCATAGCCACAACCCAGGGCTCAGACTCACACCCCTGGATCCCCGTCTGAGTCTTGGCTCTTGGCCCTTTTCTGGCTTTCTGTAAGCGCCCCCAGTGCCATGAGGACACGAGCAGTTTCGCACAGGGGGAGGCTGAATAGGGGTAGGCAGATGCCAGAGGGGAGCTCGCAGGCCGGTCCAGCTTCTGTCTATCCCAGTCCAGAGGCAAACACGGAGAGACCAACAAGGCTCCGGCCCTCTCTTCCCAGCCTCCAGGAGGAGCTCACTTGGTCTGTGGGGGCGTTACCAGATGAGTGTGGGTGAGAGAGTGTGTGTACACGTGTCATGTGGGGTAGGGTGTGCATGTGTGTCGAAGTGGGCCAGTTCTTAATGTTTCCTCTGAATATTGTAGGGGTGCCTCAGTTTCCCCTATGCATTTCTTAAGTCTCTAGGGGGTGAGATTGTTGCAGAGCAAAGGGCCAGTGTGCATAAATGGCCAACACCCTGTCTCCTGGCAACTAATGGCCTGGGCCCCTCCCCCCTGCAAGGTGATAGCTAAAGGTGTTGGAGAACAAAGGAATCAGGTGACCTCCTGGCCCGGGAAAGGAAAAAACTCAGAGAGGAGGCTCCCCGAGAGTCCTGACTGGCTTCATAGGGAGCAGTTCCAGAGCATCGCCCCGGTAACTCCGTGACAGCCTGTGTGTGTGCAGGGTGTGCATGTGTGTGGAGGGGTGTGTGCATGTGTGTGGAGGGGTGTGTGCATGGTGCCTGTGTGCATGTGTGTGTGCAGGGTGTGCATGTGTGTGGAGGGGTGTGTGCATGGTGCCTGTGTGCATGTGTGTGTTAAATAAGATTGGACCCAAGACCGATCCCTGAGGAACAACACTAGTAACCTCCCTTCAGCCTGACAGTTCACCTTGCAGTGTGACCCACTGTAGACACCCCTTTAACCAGTTCCTTAGCTACCTTTCAATTCAAATGCCATATTGAAATCCAGGTCGATTAGATCTACTGCATTTCCTTTGTCTAAAAAATCAGGTATCTTCTCAGCAAAGGAGATCCGGTTGGTCTGGCACAATCTCCCTTTTGCAGAACCATGTTGTATTTTATCCCAGTTACCATTTGCCTCTATGTCCTTAACTACTTTCTCTTTCAGAATTTTTCCCAAGACCTTGCATACAGTTGACTTCCAGGCCTGTAGTTTTCCAGATCACCTGTTTTTCCCCTTACTTAAAAATAGGAACTATATTAGCAATTTTCCAGTCATAGGGTACAACCCCCAAGTTGATCATTAAAAATCCTTGCTACTGGGCCTGCAATTTCATGTGCCCGTTCCTTTAATATTCTTGGATGGAAATGATCTGCCCCCCACAATTTAGTCCCATTAAATAGTTTGTGTTTGACTTCCACCTCGGATGTGGTCATTTCTACTTCCATATCCTCCTTCCCATTGGCCACCCTGCCACTACCCCTAAGCTCTTCATTACCCTCATTAAAAACTGAGGCAAAGTATTTGTTAGGTGTTGGGCCACACCTAGATTATCTTTAATCTCCACCCCATCCTCAGTGCTTAACGGTCCCATTTCTTCTTCCCTTGTTTTCTTTTTATTTACATGGCTCTAGAACCTTTTACTATC